AGAAACATGGCGGTTCAACATGGTGGACTCTGTAGAAGAGGACCCACTTGCTCTGTAGATAAACGGCTCATTCTAAGGAAACGAAACACAACGATTCTTATTTCCAGGTGATAATTCACTAATGAAAACATACCTATCAATATTATATTCACTGTCTGCCAATAGATCCTCCTAAATGTTTCACACTGGCCCTTTTAAGGGAAAAACGTATACCGTTGAGCAGCCTATAAGATCTAGAAGGTTGATATCATGATGGGTTGAATGTCCTAAAGAATCAGAAAACCACAAAATGTAACTTATGCTACTGAATTTAGGACAGAAATTGCCATATTTAACTGTACTCAAAACAATATAGTACACTGGATTTAGAAAACAAAGGATGTCCTGCATTCATAATTGTATTATTGTTATTAGTGGCATCATTTTATTGATCTTTTATTGTGTGGGCTGTTTGAATGGGGTCGAGCCAGGACTTGGTGTAGTCTTTAGAAGAAGAAACAAAGTCGAAGTATCCTCTCTCGTCCCCTCTCAGCTATCAACTCACAGAGCCCAACACGCTGCCCATATCAGCCCTGGAAGAGCGAGGCCTGGATGAGCTGAAGAGAGCAGTGGAAGACGTGATTGTGAACTCGACGGGAAAACACATTTTAGACCTCAGTGTCGACCTCAGCAGTCCGCAGTTAAGGTCAGAGCTGTTTTTCCTCGCCGTGTGTTTATGTTTAGAATAAGAGAGCATCCACAGTAAATGTGCGTCTTCATCCACAGCTGGCTGTACAAGCAGGCCACCGTTCAGGACGTGCAGGTGAATGCAGATGAAGGCTCGGCTGTTGTCAAGGTCATCATCAGCACCGCCGCTTACGGACGCTACAAGAAACTGTTCACAGACAGATAGTAAAGCAGGGAGGAGCGGGATCCTTCCTGCTGCAGATCCAAAGAAATGACGGACTGCAAACTGTACCACAAACATATTTAAGACAAAAGACTGTGTATGTATTGTACAGTATATTAAAATATATGAAAATATAACAGTACAGAATGATGTACTTGCTTGTAAAGACATAGATTGCACATAAATCTGTGGATTTAAAACACCTTAATTGCATAGAGAAATACAGATTTATTTCCAGAAACATTGCTTTAAGTTAAAACTCAGACAAGAGGAAATTAATTATACTAAAGGTACTCGGGGATCCGTTCCCGTGGGATAAAATCACAGCTAATAATGTTTGGTTTTTATCTGACGGCATTCTTCTTTAGAAGTTTTTGGTTCAGTGCGATGACCAGAGAGCAGAGTGGAAGCGGCCCCACAAAGTCTCCTGCGATGATGTTGAGGCTCTTGGGGTCCGACCCAGGTTTCTGCTCTTCCAGCCATTTCCTCAAACACTCCCAGTTACTGAAGGTCAGCGTCCGCAGGGATTGCTTTGGGTTCTCTGTGATGTATCTCCTGTCGGCCGTCAGGTTCAGGCCGGAGACGAAGAAGCCCTCTGGGGGTAAAAAAAAAAGACATCTTAGCCTACGTTCACACTGCAAGCATTAACACTCAATTCTGATTTATTGCTCAGATCTGATTCCTGGTTGATGTTTGGCTGTTCACATTATGTTTCGAATGTGGCCCGTATCAGATTCCAGTGTGAACAGGTCCTGAAGTGACCCGCATGACCAATGTCCATCGACAGTGATGTAAAAATCACATGTACTCTGATATGACTGTTCACACTGAGGTCGAAAAGAATCAGACCTGTATCTGATTTGGACCGCATATGGTCAAAATCAGAATTGAGAATTAGAATTTTTTACTGTTCACACTGTCATGAAGAAAACAGATCTGAGTCAAATATAAGCAATGAGCTGATTTGGGCCACTTTTACCTGCAGTGTGGACGCAGCCTTAGTATGTTGGTGAAAATACACCAGGGTGACAGAAAAGACACGTGAGTGTAAATGAAACTCACCTGGACGTCCCAGGTCTTCGTTCCAGTCCAGGTAACTGATCACTCCTTGTGCTGTGCGCTGGTTGGCCCACCAGTAGGGGATGGCAGGCCACAGCTCCTCATGTCGAGCTGCAATCTGGGAGTCATAGGACAGGACGACCTGGTAACCAGATGCCCACAGACTCCTTAAGGTCAGGACTGGTTCCTGTGGAGGGCGGGTTAGGTCGTGTAAGGCATTGTGCTGTTAACACACCATAAATCAGCTGCACAAGGAAGAAGACTAACCTTCTGGGGGCAGAGTTTTGAGCCAAACAGCTTCTTCAGGGAGAAAATGAATGCCTGATGGAGTTTGTCGCTGATTCCCTCAAAGTGGCTGCAAGCGAGGATTACGACCTCCTTTGGGTGAGACTCCAGCCAGGTGGCAACAGACGACAGTGTTTCCTGTACAGGAAGGACATTAACTCTAAATGTGTTCTAAAAGCAAACTGAAACTTTAAATGAATAATTACACTCACCAAAACTGTTAAATGTGTGTAGATGACGTGTGTGAAGTACAGGTCGCTGGATGAATCGTTGGGTTTGTGTGCGATGCGGAGGTCAAAGAACCGAATCCCCATCGAAAGTTGCTCCTCGATGCTTTTGTCCTGCAAGGAAGAGCAATTCATAAAAGAAGAATTATTCCAGTTATCGTTCCCCGTTTCCCCTCAGGTGTGAATAAACTGCAGGTTATAAACTTCTTTTTAAAAATACAAAAATGTGAAATTATCAGTTATCTTATTGGTATCAGCCATGAGAAGCAGTTTATTCATACAAATGTATAAACTGATATTCCTTCTAGAAAGAAAGACTTATCCCTTCACTTTATCTTGGGTGAAAAAGTGACTCATGTGACATATCAAAATAACATCATAAACATAACTTAAAGCTGCTATAATTCATGTTTATATTAACAATAAATCAGATGGCTGTGTGTATCTGAAAGTAGTCATTCGTAGTGATGAACCCTCAGAGGATTATCACTCAACTCTGCAGTTCCTCTCAGCTCTACAGAGCTTTTTTAGTGTCTTTAAGCTCATTGTTTTGGTTTTCTGGCCCCAAACTTTTAGTTCCCATCAGCCTATGTACAGCTGAAGTCGGCAGCTGTTTTCAGTGAGAAACACAAGATCTCTTCCAAGGTCAGTGGCTGCCTGAGTCCGCAGATACAGATAGAACAGGATAAACTACAAACCCTGACAAACACGTCTCACTAGCCAACTTCCAAGTGACTTTTAGGAATTCAGCAGTACTTTGTTATTTCTGTAAGGCTCCTCACACCACATTGTCATAGACACCTACATTATGATCAGCACACACTGCTGTTGTATTTATAAGACACTTCCACCTTACGTACCTGTGTTGTAGCCCATCTAAAAATGGCAGGTCTGGTAAAGCAGTAGAAAAGTTTATCCAGGAGCCTGAAAAAGTCCGATTCAGACCAGACCAGGGGGGAGTTTATGTCCAGACAGTAACTCATGGCATCATGGCTCCCTGTGTAAAAAGGTGTGAATATACACATTAAAGCTTTAAAGGTTCCTCATAATGAACTGGAAAAGAGTAGCTGGTTCTGTACACCTAACCACAAATGCAAAACAAAATGTCTGTGTGTGGGGGGTTTGTTTAGAGTGACTGACTAGTCTTGTTGTGATAGTATAGGTAAAACCAATACAGGTGATTATAAAATAAATAGACGGAGGAGGCAAAGGCAGTGAAATAAAAAGAAAAGAAGAAAGTATTCCAAATGAACACGAGGGAACATAAACAATCCCAAACCTAAAGATATTCAGTTTAGTGTCATAAAAGAACAGCAAATATTCCCATTCACTACAGAGGCTGCAATAATAAACCAGTTTACAGTGTGACTTGAATATGTGCTGTATATTGTTCTCCTGTACAGCAGTAACATCCAGCACTGGTGAGCTGCATTACAACAGAGAAAGAGCAGGTGTTAAATGTACCGGGTATGGCCAGGTTGGTTAGCGCAACGTCCCACAGCTCCTCGGGTAGAGCTGACATCCAGTCCTGGCAGCGGAGGTCCATGTCTCACAGTCCCAGACCTGCAGGAGACTCACTGGAGCCAGGGCTGAGCTCCACATCTGACAAACCCGTTTAGGCTAGTCATCATATGGTCGATCCTGTCCCCGTCCATTATCTAATTCCTTTAACACGCTGCACAACAAGAGGAGGAGGAGGAGGAGGGAGATGAAACTTTGAATTTCCTGTTTCTTCTGCGGTGTTGACTGACAGATTGAGTGTGTCACCAGAGCAGCCCGGCAGCTAAAGTGGGGATGCCGCTGTTCTAGGTCACTCTGTATTTCTGTGTATTATATGTGTCTGAACACATAACGCACACTTTACCCTCACACCCCTGCTCCTTTATCAGAACAACTCCGAGTGCGTCGCCATGACGTCTGATAGGGGGTGGAGCCAACGTCGAACCGGAAGTTGAGCTAAATGAATGCAGCCTAAATACATCAATGAGAATATATATGAAATACATAAAACACATGAACACACTCTTCAATTCAGTCCTGCAGAAAAAAACAACTCCAACATTATAATACAGGGAAAACACAACACTGTTCGAAACTATTTACATATGTAAAATATATATGCTTCCAACCTAATTAAAGAAGAGTTTTTATGTTTTTTAAGCTATATGAAATTATGAAAAAGGAGTACAGTTCATATATAAAGTGGGAATCATCAGTAGTTATTTAAGGTCAGAGGAAAAAATACAACTGCTTCATGAATAAAAGAGTGGAAGATGTTTAATGGCAGATGTTGCCTCATAAAAATGAATGTTACAAGCTAAAAGGTGTCAGTGGTGGGACTTTTAAGGTTTGGTACCATTTCTTTAATAACACTAATATACGGTGTTTAAAGTGACTTATTCTTATTTGACCCAGATCATTTAAGATGTACATGTTTTTCTGTCTGTTACCCTTTTTTTACTTTCTTTGTTTGTATTGATTATCTGATATTTTATATAAATCAATGTAATACGATATATTTAAATAACGAAAAGAAAGAAAGAAAATTAGGTCATACTGGAAATTGCATATACCATTTTTAGGTTATTTGTACTTAGAGGAGCATTATTTTAATTAATACAGGACAGATTTAACAAAGACAAAAGACATCTTATGGTAACATTTATTATATATATTATAGAATTAGTGTTCCCTTAGTTATGAACCATATATCTTATTTTCTACTAGTATAATGTGATTTTATTTATCTCAGAAAATTGAATGTAACTTTTTAAAGGTGATATTTGTAGCTGCAGCTCACATTAAATGATGCATGTCTTCTACTGTAGTAAACATTTTAAGGAGCAAAAGACAAAGTGTTGATGTCAAGTTTATTTACCCATCCTTCCATCACATAAGCCAAGACAATCTTTTTCTATTCTCTCATTCACCCATCTCACAAAGCAGCAGCAGCCGCCATGGAGGAGAAAAACAGAAGGAAGCAGAACAAAGTCCCTGATTAAATATGTGCAGCATCAATAAAAAAACAATCCATCAAAACCACATCTGAGATCTGTAACTGTAACTGTTTGGATATTGGAAAAACATTCTCTGTAAGGATGTTGTCACAAGATCAATTATAGACTTTTCAGGTATTGATTATAATTACTGTTTATACATTTCAAAATAAATGGTAATGAGAGAATTATGTTTGCTACCGAACACAGTGAGAGCTCCGGTTACTCTGTCAGTCAGACCTTGTTTAAGTTGTGTTTGGCTTTAAATAATAGATATTTACATTGACCTGTGGACGAAATATAAACTGTACATTTCAAAGTATTAGACACATTTGTAGATGGAACAAATTAAACTGTTAAATATTTTTATGAATGAATTTAAAGTGAAATTTAAATGAAAAAACTTTATGTTTGTTATATTTCTATAATTTTAATGCCACTATAATGGAATAAAATAATTAAACAGCAGCAGGAGCTCAGGAGGATCAATCAGAGCTCCTGCTGCTGCTCTGGGGGTTGGCCTTCAGTTAAATTTGAGAAGTTTCACTGTGAACACCTCTTTAAATTATATCCTAAAATGAAACAGTTTACAAAATAGAAACAGTAAAAACAGAAATAGTGAAACAAGAATATGATTGGAAGATACATAAAACTGTAATAACATCTTTTTAACGATTATATTTTAAAACACAGAATTGTAAATTGGCAGATTTTAGGATCTTTTTAGTTTAATAATGCAAATTTGATCAATTCAAATTGGGTCTTTACAAACTGAGAAGTTTAATTTAATTTCAGTCTCAATACTAATTGCATAATTTAAACACCATTACCTACCATGAACAGTAGAAGTCATTATCTGAATATAAATAGTTTCTTATTTTACAATTTTCAATGTTTTACAATGAACTGAAGTAATAGAGCTCTACGTGGATTTTTTGCCTGTTTGTCATCATATTGGCTACAAAGATGGAAATGTTTGGACTGAATGGGCTGAATGGATCCCAAAAGAGCAGAGTTTCAGACTGATGATGTAATACAAACCATTGTGAGGGAACGTAAACGCATTGAAAAGGAACACATACTGCGAGGGAACACAAAAGCTTTTTCCCCACTGTGGCCCTTCAGGGACTGAAAACACCACAGGTCAGTTGTTTTATGTACACGAAGCAAACGCTTTGGAGAGTAGAGATTGTGACTTAGCACAGGCATCTTGGAAGGAACATTTTAACACTGATTTGCACATCTGAATGATCAGTAAATAAAAGTGTGATGATTTGCTTAAAAATGCTCATGTTTATTGTAAAAGCTCATCTTCACAGGCACAGCGGTGCAGCATTATTTTAAATCAAGGCCGAACCTGTTGGCTAAAGTATATATAAGTAGAACAGTCAAGGTTGGGTTCATGCAAATAAGTTTTCCATGCATTTTGCATAAGTTCTTCTAAGTTCTTCTCTACATTCTCTACGGATAAATACAAGTATAATAGTTGATACAGTTTAGCTACTTCTTAAACTTGCTGTCCACATGTCATAATTATAAAAGTTTGTGGCCTACTTTACGGTCCTATGTGCTCCTTGAATACATTGTTTGTGCTTACTCATCTATAATGCCTACATTAAGGTGAGACTAGTTGTATCATTATTGCTTTGGCCGTAACATAAACTGGCCACCTCTCTGTCTCGTGAAAACTGATATAGTACATTGCATAAATAGTGAACTGAATGTAAACAAACAAGTGCAGGTCAAAATACCAAAAAGTCTGTTTTCAAGCAGCTTTAAGATCGAAATGTACATTTCACTGCCTCCAGTAAGTGCATTTATATTTAGATGAATAATTCAAGTACTTGAAGTATTTTTCTGTCACTCTTAAAAAAACAAGCTTGTGTGTATTTCATGCTGTGATTCACATTTTTTTTTTGTAGAATAATGCAAATTGTTTAAAAGTCATGAGGACCATTTCAGTAGTTTTTCATTCAGTGCAACCACAGTAGGTACAAAGTGGCTCTCTGTGATAAAGTCCCCAGCAATAATATTGAGAGAGCCGACTCTGGAGCCGGGAGTCTGCTCCTTCACCCAGCTTAGCAGCGTGGGATATGTGGACATCACCAAGTCCTTCAGGGACTCTGTTGGGTGTGTGCAGATGTATTTCAGGTCCTCTGTCAGATTAATCCCCGTGACGAAGAAACCTCCTAAAACACAAAATACGCACATGAAATTTTATGAGCGGCATAGGTCAAATGCAGTGTCAATTAAAAAGAAATGAATCATCAGTTTTATTCCCAGCCTGTGTTTGGTGATCGAAATCAACAGCAGATTACCTGGTCTGCCATGTTGTTTCCTGTGTTCAAATGCCTCGATAAGAGCCTCAGCTTTGCATTTGTTGGCCCACCAGTAAGGAATATGTGGCCACAGGTCGCTGTGACAGCTGGCAATACTGTGTTCATAGGACACAATCACTGAGCAGCCTAAAGCCCACAGGTTTCGAAGAGTTAACACTTCCTGAAAACAACAGAATAACCGGTTGAGTTGCATTTTATGTCAAGTTATTTTTAGACATTATTTAAAGCAGGTAATTCAACATATTACAACAAAGCACACAAAAATATTTCAAGTACTAACAACAAAAACATATAGCAAACAGCAGTTTCTGTAAATTTTTTAAATCATTATATATATACTCTCTGTTGTTCGCAGCAAAACAACAAATTAAGGCCTCTTCTTATCAACTCTTTGCACGCATCTTGGGCCTTTGAATTGTGTTTTTATTTTAATTGTATATGAAAGGGTAATTTCAATTTAAATGAAACTATGAAATTATATTCCAGAGGGAGGGGAATGGAGGGCTGGAAATTGCCCCCGGGCCGTCGGTTTGAAACCCCTGATTTAAAGGATAAGACTGATGTTATTTTAGATTTTTCTTACTGTCAAAGAAACCCATGAAAAGACATAAGTGAGTTTGTTTCTCAATAGAGAGCTAAAGACATGCTGTCACATCCAGAATAGTTTCTGTAAAACAGTGAAATCTCTTTCTGAAATATGAAACATGTTCCTGAAGTTTACTTTCCATATTCTAAGAGAGAAATTATCAACTACAGCAGCTGCTGTAAGAAACCTCCGTCATCGTAAGCCACAAACACTCAACAAAGTCACAAATACATAGTTTCAACAGCTGGGCACTGCTGTTTTTAGCAAATGTTACTCAAACAGGAGTAAATAGTGCATTTGCACATTGTGGGGTTTAATGGGTTTTGGACAACAATTTAGCTCTATTGTACAGAGGAATAAGATATGTCAAAATTTGGCTACAAAGACAACATTTGTTAATAGGATCAATCTTTGTTGGTTTTGGTCTGCTCAGGGGATTCACTGCCATTAAAAAATGTATATTGTGGCAACTCTAATTCTATAGTCTTCACTGAAAACTGGAGAAGTTGTACCGTTTTGGGGCAGAGTTTGGAGGTGAAAACGTTGCGTATGGTTGCGAGCAGCAGCGCGTGGAGCTCCTGGTTCAGGCCGAGGAAGTGGCTGAAGGAGAGGATCACCACCTCTTTGGGATGAGCGTCCAGCCACTCTCTTATCTCCATTAGAACAGTCTGCCAGGAAAACACAAGCTACCATTTAGTCTGCCTTTACAGCAGGACACAATAATATAATGCACGATTCACAGCCTTATTATAAAAGCACACGTGTAACTTGTAACATTGCCAGCTTCAGATATCTGGTAGGACCGGATTTTTGGCATTCACACACGGGTGTACAATAGGAAGGACGTCTGTAACAACCTGACACATCTGTTTGTTTCTTCTCACCACCTTGCAACACTGCTGGAGCAGAGGTGAGTGAAGAACTTTCTGATTTATCACACAAGCTGCCAGAAAGATTTCCAATAGTATTCTGCAGCAACAGGCTTTTGGACATGTTGAGTGGTTTAGAAATATCCTGGAGTTGCTCACTGATTGATTTAGTCCCTATAGGTCAACTAGTTTCCACTGTAACATCATGGATAAAGGTCCAAAAACTTCACATTTTGTGGAAATGTGCTGCTTTTGTTGCCATTAGAGCCATGCTGAGAAGATGTACGGAGATCTGAGCTGTAAAACTGCCACCAGATATAATACATTGAAAACAGTTTGTTGCTCCTGTTTATATGAGAATATTTCCAGAAGATTCAAGAGTTACGGCTGTGAGACTATGTAACCTCAAAAAGAAGAAATAACACCTTCTTCCTCTTGCATATATACATAAACTGTATCCTCATTCAGTTCAGTACACTCTTTAGTTGGTTTGGTGTGATCAGTAGTTTACTCTATAACAATAACTGACGTTACTGAGTGAGTTCACTGACATCTGCTACTGTTCCATTACATTTGAGCATTCATTATCATCCTGTAATCCTTTCTCATCGAATGTTTGCTGAGCATGAATGTTCTTTATGGTTATTGCTGTAGAATCAATTTGCCTTTACAGGATCATAAACTTCACTGTAGCAACAACTTTTTGGACATTTGTGTCTGCATGCCATTACTTCACCTCCACAGTGAGCGTGGTGTATACACCGTGGTAGAAGTAAAGATCAGTGGAGCTGTCATTGGGCCTGTGCGCAATTCTCAGGTCACAGTATCTGACCCCACAGTCCAGCTGCTGCTTTATAGTGTACTCCTGCAAGACACGGGATGCATAATTTATTATATAAGGTGCAGCTTCTTTGTTATTAACAATGAGTAACAACCAGCTGGTACATCTTTTCTGATTTATTACCTGGGTTATAGCCCACTTGTACACAAAGGGGCGAATGAGGGGCTTCATGTATTTGTCTAGCTTTTGAAGCATGTCTGGCTGGGTGAGGTCAACAGGGGATCTGTCATTCATATCCAGACAGTAGGTTATTGCATTGTGGCTGCCTAAGTTGGGAAAGGACAATAAACACAACCATTACAATCAAAGCAAATAGACAAAACAAAAGGAAATGAAGCAAACACTTCTTTGCCAACACGTATGCACATATAACAAAATGCACGTCAGACATAGATTGTGTTTTCTGCTTTCACAGCATGTTTCTTAATGTGGTTGCGTCGTCTGGGTATCTGTATCTGTGTTAAACTGGTGAAGATATTTTCCTCAATTTGCTTGTGTTGCGTGTATTTGCATGTGTTTTCTTTAGCTGCAGCTCACTGAGCTCTCAGGGCTACCCTACATAGGGAATCATCGCTATGTTCCCAGGGTCCTATGTCCTCCAGATCTAGGGTGAGGGGCTTCGGGATCTTGAGACCAAGGGAACGTAGATACACTCCCCTATATAGCAGCTAGAATTACAATTAGTAAAGAGTGACTTAAGTGTTCAGTGTACTACACCAAACAACCTACTTAATCCACACTATAGAGTGCTGTTGTATGGCAGCCTACCCGGGATGGCCAGGTGGTACAGCGGGGTGTCCCACAGAGCACATGGCAGGTGAGACATCCAGCTCTCCATAGGCAGCTCAGCCAGACCGGGCTCGATCACTCCGGACATCCTGAGCTCCAGCGTCTGCAGTCAGCACACAGTGAATGGCACACAGAGGGACATCATTAAACCTGCTGCTGTATCACATCTACAGGCCATTCTCGTTTGTTTACTATAAGTATCACATAAATGATGTTCAATATCACACACAGACAGTAACCCCTGAGCAGTCACCCTGTTTATTTCACACTTACTGGATCAAACTGCTGCCGTTGCTTCCTCCAGTCGCAGAACCAGCTGAACCAGCCCAATCACCACAGAGGGGAAATGCGATGACTGAAACTATAGGCGTGTGCCAGAAGAAGTCTCCCATCCCACAGCATTACAAAATGTCATGGCTCTGCATAAAACATGCATGGTGAGATCCGGAGATAAAGCGTGGCCGCACAGTCTGGTTACCTTCTACACCTGCATAGCCCGGGATGACGAGGACAGCGGGCCCGGCGCATTTTAGCTCCAGTTATGGATTATCCATAATGAATCGATGGTCCACACATGATCCGCTGGCGGGTGCATGGACGCAGGGTGAGCCCCGTCAGTGCACCGGGTGTTTGTCGGTCCTGCGAGGTGCAGCAGCAGCAGCAGAGTGTGCGGCGGCGGGCGGGGAGGGCGGCACCGCGCCTGCTGACAGATCAGCAGATACAGAGAGGCTCTCCTCTTAAAGAGCCCACTGGAGTAATTCATAGGACTGTGGCCGGAAACTCCCGAAAACATGCTGCAGCCCTGCCCAAATCCCCACCAGTGATGTCACGGCAGGTATTTCCCATCAGCTGCACGGGGCAAAACACCTGGTGTGACGTCAGGGACGGGTGCCGGGAAAGGTAACAAGCAGAGGCAGCCACTGTTAGCTTAGCATAAAGAGTAGATACAGTCATCACATTATTCACATCAGCTGGAGCTGGTGATGGTATAGGCTATTGGGTCCTTCAAGGGGTCAAAGGATCATTCAGAGTGCTTGCGATATGATTAAAGATGCACTTTGGAGTTTTCTTGTAAACAAAGTTATGTTTACTTTCTGTCCTTGATTTGCAAAGGTGGTTTAAAAAAAAGGAAAAGTTAAAAGTTTGCATCCATGTGCTGTAGCGTACCATTTTCTCCCTCCTCGCCTTTGTTGGCACATGTACGTTTCTTGAACATTACTCGTTGCACGTCGCCCATATGCTCACACAAAAGAACAGCTTGTAAAAACATTGCTCCACAGCGCTACAAGTGGTCAGAAACTCCACAGGGTACCTTTAAAAGGCACATTTCTGCTACATGAGCTATTTTTAATACTTTGCTTTTTTTTATTCTGTAATTCTGGAAACTTCTTCAGGCCTCTAAATGTCAGACACAGCTTTGCTTTGAAAGGTCACAACAAGACAGAAAAGGTTGTTAAGAGCTGGCCCATCTGTTATAAAACACTCCAGTTCTCCATTCTGTAAAATGTTAGTGAGGTGTTTACAGACAGAATTACACTTTATATTCACACCAGTTATACTCACATGTTGTGTAAATGTGTCAAATATACCACAGTGTGGCTCACACACTATGCGGCTTTTGTCTTCTACCTTAACACTTACCTCGGCTGTAAATAGGTCATGTTTTTAGAACACTGACTTGTGTACTAAAATGTCCTTACCAAGAGTAAACTGATTAAGTCGTCTGTTTGTTTGAGATAATTTGGTCTGTCAGGTCTTTCTCAGCGTCTTCAGCAGGTCAATAAACCCTGAAACAGCACTAACCAGTGTGGTGAAACATACCAGACAAACTCATTAATGAGCATGTGAAACAACCTTGCTGACTTTGAAGTCAAACCACACCAGAGCTTTCCTTTCTCTGCCTCTCTCTGTTAACAGCAAACAGTTAGTCAAAAGTGAAAGCACAGGTTTAAGATTAATATTAGTTAATATTAATTACTAAACTACAGTCTCAGTATTGTACATTCTGTCTCACTGACACACTAAACTGAATAGAGCCTTTATTATAAATTATTAATAACACCTGTACCGTTATGAAAAGGTGCTACTCCACCATGCTCTCCTCTCACCAACAGGATAAGTTTTAAAATCACTAACACTTCCTCCAAAATAATAGGTCTTCCCACTCCCAACATCCGAGCCCCTCATTAATACTGCCACTGCTCACAGGGCAAACTACCAATAGTACAAAATCCCAGCCACCCTCTCAACTCATGCTTCACCCTTCTCCCATCTGACCGTAGATTCAGACAGCTGCTCTACAAAAAGGCACGCTTTGGAAAGAGTTTTGTACCCTGCGCTATAAGAGCGTTAAACTCACAGACAAGTTAACAATGTCACTCCTGTGTCTGTATATGTGTACTATGTGTAGTTTGTGTGTAGAATTCATGTCGAAGGTGCTCTTTGTACAGACTGTGAAAACAAATTTCCTCCACTGAGGACAATAAAGAATGAATCTGAATCTGAAAAGGCAATGTCTGCTGTATGATACACATATTCTAAATACAGCTTACCAACTCCACTTTAATACACACCGTGTACAGTGGCTGTAATGGATAAGTGTGGCAATGCTGCCATCTAGCTTTCCACCCACAACTGATAAAAATCATGAAAGCCTACTCATGTTTTGCAAGTGGTCAGTCATCATTATTTAACTCTTCCTTCCCAATACTCACCCTCTCACAAACTAAATTGCAATACTTTTTACACAATTGCTAAATTACACTTCAATATCCTCATATACTTTCACATACACAAAGAACACAATTATTAATTTAACAAATTTATTTAAAAAATGCACTTTCCACAGTAGAAACATAGCATGTGAATAACATGAAAGTCCCTCCTGTTTAATTGAAAAATGAATGTTTCAGAAGTGTGTTAGTGTTAAAGTGTGCACCTGTTTTTGCAATTTACAATCCACAATCCAGTCATATTCTGTATAGTAGAGTGTATCTGTAAAATGATGACAGTGATTTAGGTACGGAGCCACGTTTCACATCAGCATGAAGTTTTCAGAAGTTTTTGATGCCACGCAGTTTGCCACCACTGCTCTAAACCCCACTCTTCGTTATGTGCTACAAATGGGACAACAGATCCGGTTTCACCTGCTCTCTCTTGCGTCATTTGAAAAGGTAATTTGGCTCAGCCTTGTTCTAAGGGGTCTTTTTCCAACGGTAGATGCTTGGTCAGATTATTTATTCTTCGATCAGACATCCTTATTTTGTTCATTTTATTTTTGACACCATTAAACACTGATGTGTTTCACAAATTTGGCCTCTTCTAAAATAATAAAAAAATAATAAAGCTTTTTGGTGGTACAAATTAGGTCACACATACTAAAGTAATATTTCACTATTGAATTGGCATCTGTATAAAAAAGTCCTAACAGTGTCCAGCCCTAGTAAAACCAGTTATGCCAGGTCATTTATTACAAAAAAAAAAAGAAAAACAGAAAAGACTGCAAATATGCAAGTTCCAAAGGTAATTTTCTGTCTGTGATGATTTGAGACCAGTAATAAAGGCAATCGATTACATATCTGTACTCAGTCTTTGCTTTTATGCATCCAGGTTCAACTACGTTACTGAATGATACATCAGGGAATGTAATTATACTCTCTTACACACATTTCTTTCCATTTTTACACAACTTGAATGCTTTTCATTATCACTTACCAGATTACTGCATTCCTACACATAAAAGGCATTTGTGTTCATAAAAATGACTCAACTACTTGACAAATGAAAAGATCACCAAGTCAGTGCATCACCCGGGGAAACACTGTAACAGACAGTGTGCAAGAAACAGGTGCAGTAAATACTACAACTCACTACAAAATTCCCATCTGGCATGTCGGTTTTATTTTCTACAACTTAAATTCACTTTTTGAAGTATCAATAAAGTGGAATGTGTGTGATTCAGTTAAACATTATTTACATCCCAATCTTATGTACAGCAGTTTTAGTCAAAGGCAAGTTGAACCTGTGTGCAGCAGGAGTGTTTCATACAAAGTTGAGTACAAAATGTAATGCTAGCCACAATGAAAGGCAAGCATGATAATCTCAGAAGACTGACAGATTTTGTTCCTCTCAAACCAACATTAACACACGGCTATGCTTCTTTATGGACCTCACTGGGAGATGTTCTTGAAGACCCTTCGTGCATCTTCTGCTTTATGCATGCAGCGCCGTTAGCACTGGGTCTTGGATCTGGTCCCTGATGGAGGTGTGTTCACATAGACGGCCTGGCACTTGGGAAGGTCAGGAGAACAACAGTACAAACAGCTGTCACCTTTGCATGGGGTGTCTGGAGCCCAGCGACTGTTTCCCATGACTGACTCCTTTCCTCGGAGCGTCTGGCTGAGGCAGCGCGACCTGCCGCCGTCTGTGCCTCCCTTTGGCCTCTGGCTCTGAGTCACTGAGCTCCAAGTCAGGACAGTATCCGTCACTGTCCTGGTACGATCTCGCGTTTTTCACTTTGTGTTCAGTCACGGGTTTGTCCCACAGTCTCTCCTTGGACGAGCCCTTTCGGGACAGTTTGTCAGAGGCCCGCAGGTCCTCTGTGCTCCGCACCAATTTAATGGTCGCCTGTTTGAAGGACCTGCCAAAGTGCTCCATGGCAGACTTGCGAAAGCTGCTCTTGTCCAAAGCCTGATTTGAAGCGTCCTGGTCACTGGGCGTCTGGCAAGAACTGTCCTTCTGAGCCACAAACTTCTCTAAGAGGCCGTTAGATTTAGCCACGCACGCTCGCTCCTGGTCCAGTTTGCCGTTGCTGTTGGACGAGTGGCCGTGGAGCGCAGCGTGCAGGGCTAAAGGTTTGCCGGTGGGTTTAACAGGCAGCGCAGAGCTGCTGGAGTGGCCTGAGGAGGACAGCCGTCCGTTGGAGCGCTCCTCTCTCCGACTACGTCCATGCATCTGAGGCTTCCCCTGACCCAGCCCTTCCCCTGCATGTTCAGTAACATTGCCACTATTGTCCGGGCAGAGCGGCCCATTACCAGATTTGGAACTGGGATTTCCATTTCCAAGACTTGAGGATTTGGGCATTTTCAGCTTCAGAGTTATCCTCGGGGGAGGACGAAACAGCACACTCTCTGCTGGAAATGAAGGAGGAAGGCCTGGTGACAAAGAAAGATGTGCAAGATTTCACAACTAAATATTAGCACAAAGCAAGAATATTATTGGAATCGCTTGTAGTGACAACATATGGCTCACCAGCAGAGAGCTCCTGGTTCACCAGCGTCACATGCAAGTTGAACATCTGCTCCTGGGCTTTACTCTGCAACAGCTTCAGCTTCTCCCGCCGACTCACCATGTAACATAAATTCCTCACCTGCACAATGAGGATAAATCAAACACTGTTCATTAAAAACAAGAACTACACTGCATGACTGAAGCTTGTCACTACTTCACGGCCATGCTTACTCTCTGTTATACATACTTTGCATGTGCAGCGCCTATGAAAGCATTCACCCTTGTGGACTTTTACCAACAGAAATATTAGTAATAGAAAGTTAATATACAGCTATTCTGAATAATTCGTTAATTTAAGACATTTGTACATTTTAACATTTAACTAGTTCCAGCTTCTGCTGCTTTATCTGTCTAATAAACCAAATATTTGGGAATTTGGACTGTTAAAACAAGTGATTAGAAGACATCACCTTGGGCTTTAGGAAACCTTTTCACTGTTTTCTGACATTTTTACATTGGCAGGATAAATGAGCACGTAAGTAATTGATATTCATGGCCCTACATTAGGATTCACCTCTGACGTCAGAGGCAACAATTGTGTCTTTGTTGAGCAGTCAGGTCTATTTTAGCCCTACAGTTTTTACCTCCATTTTTCTTGACTTGACTCTGAACTGCAATTTACTAGTCCTGCCACAGATTTTGCATTAGCTTGGAGACTGAACTCTTAATATTGTTGTTGTGTTCAAGTCATTTGTGTGTCACTTTGGCTTTATGTTTTGTGTTCTTGTCTCGCTGCTCTCTTTTCCTCCAGGATCTCTCACTCCATTTTACTCTTTACTTTCACATGTCTTCCAGAAGCCTGCTGCAGATTTTTTTTCTGCTGATGTGTGTAGATTAATTTGTGGAGATTTCATTTAAACAGTGATTTCATGTTATAAAACAAGTGAAAGCAAGAAACACTAAAGAAGGTAAATACTTACTAGACAGTTTATCTAGATTTTTGTACGGTCAGCTCAGGAAATTCAATAACTTCCCAATCCAAACCTAGAATATACTTTTTAAATCATAGATCAATGTGGANNGCAGTGTTTTGTTATGTGGGAGATTTCTAAAGATTAGCATATTTGTTAATATTCTGAAAATGAATACATCAAATATGTTATAATGTGCTACACTCAAATTAACAATGATACAGTGCACATCAAACACCACAGTGAGTTTAATTCTAGCACATAAGCTGTCTGGCTCCTTATGAAGAACGCCCATTAAGCAATATAAAATCAGGGTAACGAATAGTGGGCTGTTGCTCTGTAACCAGAAATAGCCAGACTCTGCACTAAAGACTGTAAGACTGCCGTATAAAAAAGGCACCCACCCTCTCTAAATCCTGCCGCAGGTGCATGAACATCCGCATGCGTGTGTGGATGCTGTCCTCCTGAGGCTGCAGCACCAGGTTCTCCTCCTCCTCTTTAGGGGGCAGCAGAGCTTTGTTAAAGTTAGCTTTCCTCTTCAGCTTCCAGTACTGATAGATGTAGTCCGCCAGGCGCTCGGACAGCATGAGGTCCTGGGCCACCTCGTCCAGCTGGATTAGAGTGTAGAACTCCTCCTCCAGCTCCTGCAGTCTCTGGGCCCGCTGGCCCACCTTCTCCGCCTCGGCGGGGGGTTTAGAGCGAGCTGGGCTCAGGCCAGATTCCCCAGTTTTAGACTTGCTGTGCTTGAGGCAGAAAGACTTGAACTTCACCTCATCCCCTTCATCCAGGATAGTCTTCATCTCCAGGCTGTGCTCAAAGGCACATGTCACATGGAAAGGAGTGGTGCAGTTCTTTACCGAGCACTGTGGGGTGGGGGGGTGGATAATATTATATTAGACACAAAGAAGGGCATTGAGGCATGCTTATTTGTCACCCTGATGAATTTACGGAGCACATTTAAGCAGCAGGACATTTTGGAAATTACACTTGATGAGAAGATTGCTACCAATCATCTCTGTGTGCTAAATATCAGCTAGCCTGGCTCCGTCCAAAAACCAGCCAATCAACACCTCTAAAGCTCACTCACATGGTGAATATGTGCGGGACTATTTCTTGCTAAGCTAACTAGCCTTCAAGCTGCTTCATGTTTAGCTTACAGAGATGAGACAGGGATCGCAAATAATGTTATTTACCAAAACTATTAATGGAAGTTTAGTTAGTTGCAGTGTTAGTTGCTAAGCACTGCTGGCTGTGCACAATCACAATGAGTGTGGTGTCTGTACAGAGAGCATAAAGTCGTGCCCTAATCATAAAATGAAAAGCATTCATATAAAAGCGCTCACAGTGAGGACACAGATGAACACTCACCTGGATACATGCACCTGTCTTCAATTTACATAGACTGCAGATGAGCGACCAGCGGCTGGGTGGGATGTGGGAGACTTTGGTGATTGGTTCCATCCGCTCAGGACAAGCGATGCTCACCTGCAGAAGAGGGAAAAGTGTACGGCATTGTGAGAGTTTGTGTAACATTTAGTGTAAAACACTATAAAAGAGGTCAAGAGCAAAGCGGAGGATGTACAGTATGTGTTTGTTTGAATTTACCTCTGGTATCCACAGGGCACAGCTTACGTGTGCCCACTTGGTGCCTGCACGTGTAGCCTTCATGGCACCGCCCTTCTTAGGACACAGAAGGCACTGGGGGTCGATGGCGAGGACACACGTCCTACACAGCCAGTTTCCAACAGGCACTTTGACTATACCATAACAGGCCTGTGAGGAGAGCAGCAGATTGGACCACTTTGTGATTGCTACTTAAAGTGTCAACACAATTTGAAAATACTCATTAGAAATGAGAAGAAATGGGCAAATGTGTATCTTAAAAATGGAAAAAAAAATGTGCCTTCCAAACATCCAATAAACTTCCAATACTGGCAGCTTATACAAATGTATATATTTGAATACTAGCAGAAGAGCTAACCCGTAAAATTATTCAATATAGCGATACGAGCTAGGACAAAATCAAACGATTTAAATAACTTATGTTGAGAATTGAATTGAAATTCTTGATTTGGAAATAAGCACTATGAATCAACGTTTTTACCTTTAATTTATCTGATAGTCACATGAGACATTAAATGCATTTATGTTTTAACTGGATAATCTCTGTACTTTTGTGTTGTGCAACATTTTTATGCTGCCTTCTAGGCCACTGTTATCCTTCGAAAAACAAGATTATTTACTAATGGCAGCAGAGTTGTCGCTAGTAACTGATCATTTTTACATCATCAGAATCAGCAGTGATAAGCTGTCCTTTAATAATTCATCAACTGATCAACAAACTACTGAGCCGACATAGTGCCTGTGTGATGAGAGGTGTACTCTGGTTTACCTGGTGCACACAGATGTTGCACTTGTCACAGAACACCATGTCGTTCCCTTCTTCACTGTCGGGGGAGCGGCACACATCGCAGATGACGTCCTCGTCGTACTCAATCCCCAGGCCTTCCACCGTCTCGATGGCATGATTCATGTTGTCATGGCACTGCCTCTCCAGGGCCTCCATGGTGCGCTCCATTGTCAGCTCGTCTATGGGCTCCTCCCCTGGTAGACAAAACCCCACATGGTCACAGAAACCCCACCAGACTGCTGGGACATCACGAGTCCAAATCTTAATGCTCTTATTTCCAGCTTAGGGAGACAGATGTCCATGTTCATAGATACTGTCCAATAAATTGCACAATGTGAATTTCATGGCGGATTATCCCCTTGTGATCCTGTTCCTTACCCATGCGGTCAAGCTCTCTGTTGAGAGCGTGCAGCCAGTAGAGGTCCATGTCGTCCAGGTCGTAGCGACACATGGCCTCTGCCAGCTCTTTGATGTTGACATAACCTGGTTCTGTAGACTCCTGGCTCGAGCACTGGATGTACTTTCTCTGGTGGGTGTAGAGCACCTCCTTGGGTCTCTCTGCAATAGCTCTGAACACAGAAAAACACCATCAGAATCTGTCAGCGGAGTAGCACATTCAGACTTCTTTGTCCAGAGTCAGACCTCTGGGACGGTCTTACCTGACAGACGGCTCTGGGATGGTGTCTGGACTTGCCAGCACCTGGACTCCCTTCTCCCACTCCTGCTTCCAGGTGTCTGCCAGCAGGTAGTAGTCCTCTGGGGACACATGGTGGGAGTCAGGCAGCTTCATGGCACTGATCAGGTCTTTTCTGAACACCTGCAGGAGAGGCCACGGCACACAGTCAGTCACACACTGGTCCTCACGTTTAACAACACTCAGCACAGAGCCTGGCAGCAAGGAAGGACGGGAACTTACTTCAGCCGGTTTCTTCGGGTTGGAGGCGGGGGTTCCAGGTTTACTGCCATACTTGTTGGAGGAGCAGAAGGACGTAGAGGGACCTATATAAAGAAAGAGGGTGTGAATAAAAGAGGAACAGAGAAAATGAAACAGTCTGGTTTAGGTTATGGCTTCCCACAGATGGAACTCACTCTCATTGTCAGAACTGTCGCTGCTGCTCGAGGACCTGAGACGTTTCATCCTGTAACATCCTGCAGAAGAAGAAAGAACAGACATTGAAGCATTTAAGACTGTAGGAAGAAAGAGTGTATTTTAAATCATTAACAAATTGAAACTTTTTAAATTCTTCTTAAATGGAGATATGAACTAACAGATAGACAGAAGATAAGTTACTCACCATAAATTTCAAGTTGAAAAGCATGCTAGTAGATTTCTCTGAAACCCTTAAATCGCTTAATGTTGTGCCTGCAAAGAAGAAATATATGTCAACTCAACCAGGAAAATATACCAGTGAAAAAGAAAGAGATGTAAAAGGAACAAAAAATGTCTGTAACAAAGACTGATTGTAACACTTCGTAGCTGGGTCTGCATTTGCTAAATATTACAAATCAAAACCTCTTTTTTGCATTTATTTTTGACTGTTTAAAATAAAGGAAAACTGCGCAGACAGACAGCACAGGTTCACAGTGTGTGCCTTTAGTCTACTGAACCACTGGGGCGACTCATTAAAAGGTTTCTAAATACTGAGGGACTCAAACCCACAGTAGCCCCAAATACAGTACGCTGTTTCAACAGACAGGACATGCCTCACATTCCCCATGAGGACAGGAGGGGTAGGAGGGGAAACGCATGAAGCCAATTCCACTCCATACCATAGTATGAGTAAAATACACTGATGCCAACTGCGTAGACAAATATACAAGCAGTTTGTTGCTGGTTAAAGTCCAAAGTGTCTGAAGACATAATTCAGTGTGATCAGAGTGACTCCCCAGTAAATCAATACTATCACACGCTGAACTTTCATGTCACTACTTGACCATCAGCAGTCGTTCCAGTATGTTTCTTGACTAAAACGCAGCGCTATTTTTAAGATTAAATCACTCAACACAAACACACCACAGTACACTGTGTGTTCACCTCCACAGCAGAGCCGGCTGACGCTGCACTCTAATCGTCTGGCATCTGCTACTGACATGAGTGTTTCCATCTCTGAACGAAACAAAGTTTGTGTGTTCAGTTCAGTCAATACTGATAAATACGGATAAGTGATGAATAATGTGACGTTTGGCCTGTTAAGACTAAAGCTACACTAAGAGCTAAGCTAAGACGTCAGCTTTGACCTGGGAAATGGTGGTCAAGTTTGAATGTTTGACATTTTATGGCCTAAACAATTAATTGATGATAAAAGTAATTCTTAGTTGTACCACAAACATCCCTCTCCGTGTTTTATTTCAATATACTGTACATTAAGTTATTGTCCGATTACAAATGTGGACAAACTGAGTATGGGATCTTGTACCATTTACTACATCAAACAAGTAGTTTGTGTAAAAAGTTAACACTGCTGCAGGAACAGGAAAAAAGATCACCACAATTGGTGTTATAATTTCACTCCAGCCTTACCAACCAAGGCTGCACAATATAGTAAAAAAAGTAATCATATTGCCATTAATATGACAGATATTACGATTGTTTGATGATTCACGATTAGTGGGAATGGTCATTTTTGCATCACAATTTTCATTTTTTCTGCTAAAAAACAATTCAAATCCTGATGCTGTGACATTTGTTGGGATCTCTAACAAACAAACATGTCGTCTTACATCTGAAGAACAAGATTTGTAGTTCAGGGAATCTCTGCAGCTCTACAGTACTTCATTATGATGCTGTTCTGTCACATAGTTTAGCTTCATCAAGAAATTGCAGATTCTGCAGTTTGTATATAGCACAGATATCTGCATCCCTACTACTAATGTTAATTAGTTATCAATTATGTCATATTCACTGTGCAATCTATTGCCCATGTGCAACTGCTACTATTTGTGTTATCTGTCGTTTGGATTCTTAGTTTTTTCTTGATTCTTACTGTTTTCTCTTGTACATAGTGTTTATATTATATTATATTATTTCCCTACTCTCACTGTTTTTTCTCTACCCACTTTGTTACTGTAACATTGGAATTTCCCCACGTTGTGACAAGAGAAAGGGACATATTCGCGTACTCTGTACGTGGCGTACCATTAACAGGCTTGAGGAGCAACGGCACCTCACCATGGAGGAGTCGAGAGAGGCCAGAAACCAAAGAAGAGCCGGATGTTAATGCGCCCCCTGCTTACCTCCCCCACCCACACACAGTGTAAACTGGCTATGGATGCCCACGGATATGACATCACACTGTGAAGAGACCCCGATATATGTGAGTGACAGGACACAACGACCGCCGCCTTGTTTACATGTCTGTCCTCATACATTGTGCTGTCCTAACTGCACCAATGTGCTCACTGAGACTGCACTGGGCTACAAGGGAACTGTGTCTCAGAAGAATAAACCCGTAAATAACCGAGAGCCTGCCCTGCCCAAAGAGCCTGGTTGGCGCCAAACACACAAACACACACACACACACACAAACACACACACACAGGCCTGTAGCGGGCTGCAC